GCTGCAAATTAAAGCAAATTGCAGCTCCGTCAGGCAGATATCTCATATAAAGATGATTTTTATGTCTATTTAAATAGCAATGAAGCCATTCTCTTTTTTTTTATCATGATGCATTTCACAGAAAAAGAGTACATCCTGTCATACTCTTCCTAAGGTTTTCACTCTGGTAAGTATTGGAACAGCAGAAAATGGAACCTCATCTTAGGCAAATGTGAGGTACTTCATGACAGCACATCAATCTATCAAACATTTTCCAAATCCAGAAAAGCTACTTAAATAAAATTAATAAAAATGTTTAAACTATTATTAATAATAGATACAGAGTTAGGCTATTTCAGTCCATCTGACCTAGATGATGAATTCCGATGCATTATAACATTGAATTTTGCCTTATCATGTATCATACTGTAGTGAACAGCAGCTAGAAGATGTCACATTAAAATGAAGGTGACAAAATAAGTCCTCTAGAAACCAAGTTTACCTAAGGCTACTTAATAATCTGAGACTCACCCAGATTTAGCAGGGTCTGACCAGTAAAAAGAGTGCTGCAGACAAATATATTTTGAATATTTTTATATTTTAAAGCTAAGCTCCCCTGAAGTTAGTTTTGTAGCATTTAAACTTCTAAATCACTTTGGGGTAGATTTTCCAAAGTATTTAGATGGTGAAAAGTGCAAATGGAAGCATAGTGGGATTTTCAAAAGCATTTAAACAGATAAGGCACGTAGCTCCCGTTTAAATTAATTATCTGGATTGAACATGTTCCCCTTGGCACTTTTGAAAGTTCCACTGCTAGGTGTTTATATCTAAATAAAAAAACATGATTTTCAAAAGAGGCTGAGCATGGAATCATAGAATCGTAGAATGGTTTGGGTTGGAAAGAACCTTAAAGATCATCAGGTTCCAACCCCCCCACCATGGGCAGGGACACCTCCCACTAGACCAGGTTGCTCAAAGCCTCATCCAGCCTGGCCTTGAACACCTCCAGGGATGAGGCATCCACAAGTTCCCTGGGCAACCTGTTCCAGTGCCTCACCACCGTCACAGTAAAAAACTTCCTCCTAATATCAAGTCTAAATCTACCCTCTTCCAGCTTTCAGAGTTGCATCCAGCAATTCCCTTTAAAACAAGACTATTACATGTTCTAAGCGGTTCTGAAAATCATACAATATCCTTGGCTCAGTGTTCCCAAATGACCCTCCTTCACTTTCTTGTTTCTTAAGTTTCTACTATCATTTATTGTCTAAAGTTAATTTCAGAGAGGTGGGATCAATAGTAGTATAACCTAAGGATAAAAAAAAAAAATAATGACATGGGTGAATCTTCTGTACAGGTTTGAGAAGCCAGGTCCTTTAGTATATACATTTAATGACTGAAAAAAATTATAGAACTTTAAGACTGTTGCTGTAATTATGTCTTGTACTGGATTTCCTTTTTTACGTTCATATTATGCAAAATAATAGCTCAAAAATACATTACAGCCAAAGACTGCTGCAGGTTATGGATAACTGGGAATGAACCAGATGACTAGAAATAGCATGACTTTTCAGTTTTTAATTGCTGCATATACAGAAAGCCTTAGCGAACCTGTTTAGATGTGACAAAAGCAGGCAGTACTCTGAGGTATAGTTTCCCCTGCCCTTTAGTCTGTTTCTTTTACAATAATGTCTAAGTAGCAGTCTGAGGGTGTACACACATTAGCATTTTAGTTTCAATCAAGAGCCTGCTTTTGAAATGAATCTGCTAATTATTCCTGCTTAGAACACTTGCTCATTGTAGAGTGTGTCTCAGGCTATGTGAACTGGATTGGTTTTGTCTGAAATGAAAGCAGAAGATGCTTTCTAGAAGGACATCTAATCTTCTTTAATCACTACTGGGTGTTCAGTCTACATCAAACTTAGTTCAATATAACCTTCCTTCCCAGACTCTAATTTCAAATACTGACCAATGTGAACATGAAGTCCTCAGAGCCAACACCTTTGCTCCTCAGATCGGCTCTTACTATGCCACGTTGCTTTTTAATGTAGCTATAAACTAACTTGTGAGGATGGTTGGGTTCATGGGAGAATCCCAGCTTTGTACCCACTTCCAGAGTTAAAATCCCACAATGCCAGAATTTCCTCAGATCTGCAAATATCTTAAGGAAGATCTCTAATTTCAAGCACTGGCCAACATTTCTTGGGAATGTATCTTCTCTTTCTCGTTAGGTAGAAAATGAAATAAAAAATTCATAAACAGGAACTCATAACATTTTTGTTAAGAGCTTTTTCAGAAATTTAGGTCAACCTAAATGGAATTGTAGGTTTTACCTAAAAAAAGTAGTCCAGACAAGAAAAATTGTGAGACATAACTTGTATACCTTGTAAAATGTGCTTGCACCAGCCATCCATTCTGGTTTTTCTCTACATGCATTCAGAATTATTTTATGCTTTAAGAGTCGATTCTTGTTTGAATCGTTCCACTGCTAGCAGCTAATAGTCCCTTGTATGCGTATTTCTTTTAAATAAAAGACTCGAGTTTGCTTAGCCAGTGAGTTTTCCATCATTCATAACCATGTATTGCCATGCTCAAAAGTATATTTGTGTGTCAGATATACTAGAATGGAAAACAATACAAATCTGTACCAATGACCTTCCGAAACACGAATTTATTATCAGTTGTTGCCACTGGGGTGCATAACTTGAGGCACTCTAATGGTTTGCCAACCAGGAAAAGTTTTTAAGTATGTTTTTAGTCAACTAAAGCACTGTCAAGATGAAAGTATGTGAAATCATAAGAAGCTGTACAGTAAGAGGATATTTTTTTCTTTTTTCTTTTTTTAAGGTAGAAACTCTGAAAGACACAAAGGAATTCTGTGTACCTATCTAAATCGTGGATTCACAATACAGTATGTGTGGCTTTAGGATGCTGAATGCCAGATAAGAAACACTGTAGCCTCATGGTATTAAATGCTGATAAACTCACTTTGCTAGTTCAAATGTGTTAAAAAATTGGACACCTTAGCTTTATCCTGTCAGGCTTTCTGACAGATTAGATATTGCCTGTCCATGCCACTCTGAGTTTATGCTGGATCAGGTGTTGTATACTCTCCTGGTGATTCTGTATTGTGGGCTATAACCCGGCAAATATTCTGTACTGTTCCTTTCTGACCGTGGCCTCCTGTTGCCCCCATTATCATAGCATCTGACTAAATCACAAGCTTTGATGTTTTTATTCTCTTAACAACACTGTGAAGGAGAATATGTCTTTGCTGTGACACAGATTTCATCATAACATGTTCTCTCTCTTGTCTAGTAGATGAAACAGTAGGGGTTATGCAGGCTTTGAGACTTTCAGTGATTAAAACCAGGAGATTGTAACAGAGGTTAATATTATCTTAGAGTGTCAAGGGCCCTATCAAAGCTGTCTCATGCAACTGAATTATTTTTATGATTTTTAGGAAGCTAATTACTTGAATGATTTCCTTTTTGATAGCCACCAGATGCTGCGTTTTGTGTAATTATCTGAGTCCTTGATACAAAATATGGTTAACTTCTGCAGGTTCAGGACCTATCCAAACCCCACTGAAGTCTTTGAGTGACTCGGGGGATTCACAGAGCTAGTTGTATGAGTGAGTTCCTTGTCTCCTCATTACTGTGTGGTCCCTTGTTTGCCCCTTTGAGTCGTGAATAACAGCAAAGTCGTACACCGTGCCAAAGAGTGGACAGAGGAGATGGACCCTGGCTGCTTGTTGCTGCTTTATTGACCCTGCATGGTGCTGTAACCAGTGCTCTGGCTCCCTGAGGAAGGCAAATGGGACCAACGTTACATTGTGGTGTTTTCTCAAATCTGTTGAAAAATTGCTGGAAAAATAAACTGTTAAGGCCAAAATTATCCCTCCTGATAAGCTGTCCTCATTCTGTCCTCCTCCAGAAGGAACTGAAAACATTCATGACTTGAAGGTTTTACTGCTATTTCACTTATAAATAAAGCCTCCAAAGTAAACAAAACTGCTGAGCACTTAACAGGCTAGTCCTTCGTCCTTGAGGACTTACCACCTAACAGAGGAACGAATGACGGAGCATGGGAACAACACAGAGTGATTCTGGTGCCTGCAAGTAGCTCTTTGCTCTGCACGCTGCTCTGGTTCACTCATTGTGACCTCTTGCAGAACAGTTAACAAGGGTAGGTCAAGGAGAGCTGGGACCAAACTGAGTGATAATTTTAAGCAGGAGATATTTAATTCCATACATTTCTTATTTGGATTTTATTTGAGCAGTATGCAGGAACAATAGATAAGTGGCTGAAAAAAGTATATTTTGTTAATGTGCTGTTGTGGGGAAATCTGGGATTTCCAAAACAAGACTGCATCATGTACATCTCTTCTGTGCTACAAAAAGATCCTTGGACTTTTTAAATCAGGAGGACTAAAGGGTAACCATGACATCTTTTTCCATTATTATTCAGAAAGCAGTATATACTTATTTTGATCTTCTAGAAATGTAAACAAAACACTCCTGTGCATTTCAAGACTTAGAAAGTGGAAAAGTATAAAATATCCACATTCGTGGAAGAGGTGGCATTATGGATCTTTTTTCTGGCACTCTGTGCTGCCAAAGCTGATGTAAGGAGATTTAAATCTATTTCTTTACTGTACCAGAAACTTATTTCAAACTCACATAGCCTTATTTTGTAATTAAATGTTTCAGAACTACTGATATTTATATTTGCATGTGATTAACTTTTAAAGCACTGTGTACAGGGTTTTTTGCTTTTAAACTAGCCTAGAGTCAATAAATATCTTTGCAGATGTCAATTTGGTTAGCAGTAAAGAGGTAAATAGAAACTAATGACATTCATCAAGCCTGTGGCATGAATGATTTATTGGACACAATCATTTAACACTTTCATAAAGTCAATACAAGGGAAAGAAACAGGTTTCTTATTATGGTAAACTGTATTTGTACTGTCAGCATGTAGTGATTTATGACAAACCTGTGGCCAGGATTAGGATATTATAAATGGGGGAAAATAGAAGGCTCATTAATTTTTTATACCCACAGGTAGAAGACATGCAGTGGGCTAATAGAGAACACACTCATCCAGCATCTGTCTGCAGCCTGCCCTGTAAAGCTGGAGAAAGAAAGAAAACCGTGAAGGGAGTGCCCTGCTGCTGGCACTGTGAACGCTGTGAGGGGTACCATTACCAGGTGGATGAATTCAACTGTGAACTGTGCCCCATTAATAAGAGACCAAATGCCAACCGTACAGACTGCCAGCTTATCCCTATAATCAAACTGGAGTGGCATTCTCCTTGGGCCATCGTGCCCGTCTTCATCGCTATTCTCGGTATAATTGCCACCACCTTTGTGATTGTGACATTTGTCCGCTACAATGACACACCGATCGTCAGGGCCTCTGGACGGGAGCTCAGTTATGTGCTCTTGACTGGGATTTTTCTCTGTTACTCGATTACTTTTTTAATGATTGCGACTCCTGATACAGTGGTCTGCTCGTTTCGAAGGATCTTTTTAGGACTTGGCATGTGCTTCAGCTATGCTGCCTTGCTCACCAAAACAAACAGGATTCACAGAATATTTGAACAAGGTAAAAAATCTGTCACAGCTCCCAAATTTATTAGTCCAGCTTCTCAGCTGGTGATCACTTTCAGCCTCATATCCATGCAGCTTATTGGCGTCTTCATCTGGTTTGCTATCGATCCACCACATATCATTGTAGACTATGGAGAGCAGAGGACACTTGAACCAGAAAATGCCAGGGGAGTTCTCAAATGTGACATTTCAGATCTTTCTCTCATTTGTTCCCTTGGATACAGTATTCTCTTGATGGTCACATGCACTGTTTATGCTATTAAAACAAGAGGGGTTCCAGAGACCTTCAACGAAGCAAAACCCATTGGATTTACTATGTATACAACCTGCATAATTTGGTTAGCTTTTATTCCAATCTTTTTTGGTACGGCCCAATCAGCAGAGAAGGTAAGTGATGATAAGTTAACAAACCAAATACTATCCTCTTTTTATTTTTGTCTCTGAATATTTATGACACAACAATATTTTCACTCTTACAAATGAGTGATTCTGAATGCTAGTTGCAAACAAACTCTAAGAATTCACAGATAATAAAATATATGATTCAAAAGGTAGGTTCCCTATATTTTAACAAAAGAAACTGATTGTGGTGTGGCTGGCATCGTAATGTTGACATTTTCTCAATATATCCTTGAATGACTGTTTCTTCTAACGTTTATTATTACACTTCAGCGATGTTCTAGCCTGTTACATGAAGCACTATAAATCTTTGTTATCATCCACAGATCTGATAGAAATGGTTGCATTTCAAAAATATAAGTAGATCGACTTACATTTGTCAAAAATAATGAAGAAGAATGCCTGGGCAGAATGAAAAGAATTACTTTTCTATCTGGTTGACACATATAACTAAAAAAAAAGAAAAAAAAGTATAGGAGGATTGAATGAATTATATGTAAAATCATATAAAGCATAATTCACTAATTATTATCTCAGAGCAAAAAGAAAATATTTTCCTGATCTTTAAATGAAAAATTGAACATTACATATTTAGGTATCTCTCATATCTTGTTCAGTTGTCATGGGCCTTTCCTGATATCAGTCATGGTGAGTAGTACAAAACATGTCAGACATTTGACTCTCCTTCTCTCAGTCCTAATGGGAAGGCAGAGGTAACCATTGGCTGTATGAGTTTTTGTCCAACTGATAGTGGTGAAAATGATGTTAGAACAATAAAACAAGCATCAGTCTTCAAAACTGCACATCTGCAAGATTTGGAAAATCTTAAAAATAGGAAAGTAAAGTCATCAGTCTTTTACATAAACTCTTTCGTCTTTTCTTCTATTAGGTGATTTTTGTAATGTTTTAAAATATACATTTTATTTAATTAATTTAACTGGAAAAGTCAACATGTCCACTTTTAATTGTGAAACAGTTCAACATGACTCTGGTTTAGAGGGCTCTCTGTCCTGCAGAATTAAATAAATCCGTATAGATTGACAAAATACTTGCTAATTCAAGCAGAGGGATCATATGGGGGAGAGTGTGACAGAAAAACATTTTCCTCACTAAAAATTGAAGTAAGCAGGCTTGCTGAATTGGATCAGGCTTGGTTTCCATGGTCTTTTGGCTTAAGTCAGGGGAAGTGAGTACCAAGGTAATGGCATATCATAGATAAAAAAACCTGTTTTGTAAAGTAAAGATAAAAAATCCTGTTTGATATAGGAAAAACCTGTTTAGGTTAATCATATTTAAATTATGACTTTTTTTTTTAATGTGTAGGCTTAAGTCAGAAAAAATCTTTGTTATATAACATGTGATACTTTTTGTATTAACATCCTGGGCCAGTCAATTTTATGGCAAGTAACTATAACAAAAGAAATGTATTTCTGAGTATTGAAACACAGAAAATATTGACTAACAACTATGAAATTAGTTTAGATTTACACCATTGGTTCACCTTTGCTCATACTAAAGGGTATGACCTCTAAATATGAGATTAATGAACACCTCTTTTGAATTTCTTTTATGAAACCCAAGACTGAAAACACAAATTACAGTAAATCACACAGCTTCTAACACTAAATTTCATTTGTTAGTCACCTTTTTTTTTTCTAAATGATTTGTTATTCTTCAGATAATGACTTTCATGAGAAAAAAAACCAAATTAATATGCTCATACAGTACCTGTGTAATTCAAATAATTATTTTCACAGTGCTTCTACTTTTTGCTGCAAGTAAAACCATGTTTCCACGCACTCTTAGAGACATCATCATAATAGCTCGTGTATTCACACAATTAAATTGCTTGTCTGAATTGGACAATAATGTACTAGTGCACACATATATACATTGTCTGAATAAACTCAGAGTTGCTTGTAGATTTCTCAGTTAATGCATAACACCAAAATCAGCATTTTGAAAACAAACTAATGTAGAATATCTTATTTGAGGTTAAGTATTGCAATAATTTTTGAAGATCAAAGAAATGTAAGAAATAAAAGAGAAAATAAATTTAAGCAGACTTTGGTAGATGCTTGCTCACTTAACAGTTGTTTTAGAATCCTGAAAATACTTTTTTAATAGCTTGAGTTTGTTCAGAGAGAGCAGAGCAATAAGCTGGGGAACTTAAATATTATTTAGAAGCAACAGTTCCTTTTTCAAAATGTTGACAGTTATAAAGTTCACATAGCACTCATTACAAGCCAGATGTACTTCCAACTAGCAGTTCATGGAACTACTTGCTTTAGACAGACTTCTGTTTCGATAACAAGTAGTTAAAATTTCTCAAAATGTTTTGAGGAACTTCTGTTTTCTTAAACATGAGTAGTGCTTACAAGAGCGCAAGTCATTATGCACTTTTTGAATGAGCAGTTGTATTTACTTAATTAACTATTCCCTGAACACAAATTAAGTAGAAAGTGTTTTGATGAGTTTTTATTTTTATATCACTGTTAGAATATTTCCACTTATAAACAAAAAATAGGACCGCTACTGCTAAAAGCAGGTGTCTAGATCCAAAACTGATAGATTGTCATGGAAAGGTCACCTTTACTTCTAGTGGCCTTGGGGTCAATTCCCAAAAGTGTAAATTTGCTAAGAGCTTCTGTGTAGGACCTAAAGGAGATAAGCCTGTACAGTCAGCACAAGTCCAGAAGCTGAGTGTCGGTGTCAGTGAAACTTCAAATACGTGTGATGAAGGATATGCAAATAAGCATAAGTATATTTCTGCAGGCAGACTGCAAGTCTTGCTCATATATTCTTGCTGTGAAGCACAGGATAGGAAACTCCTCTCTCTACTGTGCATATGAAGAACCTTGAGTCTCTAGCTGGTTAATACAGTTGAGTTAAATGCCTGAATTTGCAGGGTGTGACACATCCATAAGAGAAAACATGATAAAAGTCGAGGTAACTTGATGAGACTCAGTGGGAATATGTTGATATATAGTCTTGACATTTGTAAAATTTTTAACAGCCCCTTATAACAGATGTTGTTTCCACTCCTGTATATTATACCAGTTTATGTATAAGTTTAAAACCAGTATAAAATTGAGAAAAAAATAAAAATAATATATGACAATGGCTAATTAACAGAAAGTTAAAAGAGCAATCCAAAATAACCTTGAGCAACCTAAGTTTGGTGGCTTTTGTGGAACTCAAAGTTTATTGTTTATCTTTAATCTCAAGCATCAGAAAATTAAACCCCTGTGCTATTAAACGTGCCATTTTTAGATTGGCATTTGTACAGATGTTCTGCAGAGAATGATAAGAGCTTTGACTTTAAGTCTTGTGTGATTTTTTTCTGTCTAATTCATGATTTTGTCCATTTGTGATCAAGCCTGTTTTGACAGCTGCTGCGTTACGAAAGAAACCAACTACAAACAGATAAATTATTACAGTCCATCTTTGAACTGAGTGAAAAATGTATCCCTAAGACATAAAACACCAATTTTCTAACACTTGCATAAATTCCAGTGAGGTACTTCAGAGGCAAAAGAGTGAAATTCTGTGAGAAAGCATTCCATGAATGTAGCCTTCATTTATGTCATGCATGTGTACACAACAACACACTGTAAGTACTGGGATCATCTGGAATAGAGATGTCTGAAACGTCATGATGACTGTAATTCTGCAGAAAAAAAGATTGAAATTAGCTGAGTGATTAAAACATATGTTTGATGAACCCCTGGGTAAAATTAAATTGCAACAGCAGACTGCACAAAAACTGTCTGAGGATAGATGGCTGTCGAAAGTACATCCCTATTTGATAAACTGAACTATTTTAATTTCCTTCATTTTACCAGTTTGGACAGGTGAATGAATCATGTTCATTTACTGATCATAAAGACATCATTTGTTTTATTAATGTGGAAATACTCTGTTTTGAATAAGAATATACTTATTCCCATACTGTGAAAAAAAAAGAGGTTACACTTTCTGCTAAAGAAAGAGGACCATAGGAAATGCTGAATGATTTCTTCCTTCTTCTCCCATTGGAAGCAATTGCAAGGTGAAATCTAACAAGACAGATAAATGTTCATGTCTTTTCCAATTATTCTGAGAAATTTGATCTCTCTTTTCATAACTGCAGTAAAGACAAAACAAGTTGTAATATAGGATAGAAATCTGCCTGTAAATTATTATCCTTATGATCTTATTATTTCAGCTGTTTTAATCCTGGATATGCTAATCATGTGGGTCTTATGCTTCTATCCAGCTGTTTGTAACAGTAAAAGAAACTAGAAACACTTCAAAGAGTATCTCAATATTGATTGGACTTGTAAGCTACTGTTGTAGTTGTCAAGAGAAAGCTACTTAGTTTTCAGTGGGAGAGAGAGGTAGTTCCATCAGTCTAGTAAGAGATGCTCTTTAGCTTAAAAAAAAAAAAACAACAAAAAACAAAAAAAAAAACAAAAACACAAAACCAAAACAAAACTACTAGTGACAGTTCAGGTAGAGACCTCTTACTTCCCCCGCATTTCCACTAAATTCAGACAAATTGTCATTTTTGTGTGTCTATTTTATGAGTTCTTGGCTAATTGTGTTCATGTGACTGTAAGAAAAAAAAAGCATCTTGATGATGTCTCAGACCATGTTAATGAAGCAGACTGCACTGAGCCTTTTCTTCACCTCAAAGCATTCTCTTCTAATTCTGATCATATTCAGAGATTTAGCTCTGCAGGTAGTTGGTGCAGTACATATCACAGAAAAAAGTAAAGACATAACTTATCATGTAAGTATTTATTCCATTTTATAAAATAGTGTTTGGTTTGATTAAACCAGAATCTTTAGTGACAACACTGTGTATAGCATGAGGATTAATCTGAGGGATATTTAGAATAGTTTATAGTTTTAATTATTACTGGATCCAAAGTTAGGAGACTGCTGAAGAAATACTTCCTCCAGTTTGTCATTGTTGAAAAGTCAATTTCTGTGCTACTGCTGAT